GGGCTGGTCGTCTTGCCCCAGGCTAGTTCCCTCCCCACTTGGACACTCCCTGGCCTGTGGACTCCTTCTCTGTCTCTTGAGTTAACCTGACAGAACTGCTCCAGTGAGCCCAGCACAGTTTGTGTTAGCCCAGGGGCAGGTGTGTGTTTGAGGGGTGAGGATCCAAAGTATCCTTGGTGACAAAACATTTCTCAGAGCTCCCTCTCCCCTCCCTCCCCTTCTTACAGCCCTGAGGACCTTCACCTTGAAGCTCATTGTGTCTGTCCAGGGTAGGGATGTTGGCTGGCTAGCCTTGCTTACTCAGCTCCTATTCATCTGAGAGCCTAGGCATTGGAAGAAGGGTCCCCTACTCTCTCCCCTTGGGCCTGCTAGGAAGGCTCTCAGCCTAAGTCTCCAAGTGCATGCTGAAACCCTGCCTGAGAGCAGGCGGGTGAGGGGGGCTGGGGAGGCCAAGGAGGCTTCAACCATAAAAGCCATCCTTGGCCACAGGTGCTTCCTGGATCGATCTTTTTGTCTGTTTTGAATTATCTCCCCAGCAGCTGTGGCGTCTCCCGGCAGCCAGGACCCCGGGAATGGGGGTTGCTGTGGGGGCTGGGGTGAACATGGGCTGCACTGATGGCCTTTTTTCCTTCAAGGAGAAAAGCGCCCCACCCGTGGCCCAGCGTGGGTGTCCAATGGAAAGGCCAGCTGTGTGCTGTCTTGGGTGCCAGTCTTACCTTGCCAACCACCTGCCCAGACACAATTCCTGAAACCATTCCCAACCTCATTCCAGAGCCAGATGTCCCCAGAAGGAGAGCCGTTTGAGCCACAGAGATAAACGAATCAAAGGGAGAAGAGCAGACAGAAGTCCCTAGGTTTAGGTGCTCTGGTATGCAATGTGTCTTCCAGAAACACATCATCACCACTTCAGTGCCTAACTTAGAGTCAGGGACATTCATGAAAGAGTGCCAGGCACCATGTTAAGATTTTGTGTCATGCATTCTCATGACAACCCTCTGAAGTGAAGACTTCATTACGCAGCAAACTGCTGCCTGAGATGATGAAGTCACTTGCCCTTAGCCACACAGGCTGAACTTTCAGAGTGGGAATATGAGCCCACATTACAGCTCCAGCTCTGCCTAATAGTTTAGTCTCAAATCTGCTTAACCCTGCCTACCTCCCTGAAAATTAAAACAAAAAACTCAGTGCCATCGAGTCTTTTTCACCTCATAGCATGCCTATAGGACATGTCAGAGTGGCTCTTTAGGATTTCCAAGACTTTAAATCTTTATAAGAGCAGACAGCTTAGCCCAGAGTGCCCCCAATGCACTGAAAATATGCTAGTAGATATGTGCTGAACATTAACAGGTGGTTGGACGAATCACACAAGCAAAAACATTAATAACTATCATTACAAAAAACATTTTAGCTGCCAACTATTTGCCAGGCAGTAGTTGCTTTACATGTGTTACCCTTACAACACTTCTATGAAGTAGATGCTGTAACATCCCCATTTGACAGAGCTGGAGACTGAGGCATAGAGAAGGTAGGTAATTTGCTAGAGTCCCTCAACTGAATTTACAGAATGAATGAGCCTCTGACCAAAATTAGACCTTGCCCTGAGACCTGCCCATGGCACGCCCCCTCACCTTCTCCTATGAGTCACCTACCAGCTCCTGACCAGCACCCTTCACCCCAACTCTTGTCTCTCTCTTCCACAGTTACCGTTGTCTAGGACTCTCCATGTTTGAGTCTGTCTCCCAGGTTGGAACTAAACTCTTGTCTGCTGTGGTCACTGCATAGGCTTTGTCTGTCTGTGTTGATCACTACTGAGTCCCAATTCTGGAAAAACGTCTAGTACCAGATTGTTGTTGTGAAGTGCCGTTGAGTCAGCTCCAATTCATAGCAACCTTGTATAGAATTTCCAAAGAGTGACTGGTGGGTTTGAACCACCAACCTGTGGTTAGCAGTTCGGTGCTTATCCTACAGCACCACACCAGGAGTCGGTCCAGTGCCGGATAATTGTTCCATAAATATTCATTGATTAGTCAATTGATTGATCCAATTGATGAAATGAATGAATGAGCCAAAGCTCCACCTCTCAATATAGAAAATAGTGTGTTTGCCCACGTTCGTCCCGCTGGGCCCAGTGGGTACCCTGGCATATGTGTCCCTCCCAGGGTAACCTTCCTGATGAATTGCATTCCCTGCCACACATGAACGACATACACAACCCCATGCTGTTGCCCCTTTCCAGCCCTGCTGCCCGGAGCCCAGCGCCCCCTCCCGAGGGGACCTCAGAAAGCCCAGTCCCAGCGACCCCAGCTGCCGCCATCCCCGAGGTGCCCTCAGCAACCCCCACTGCGCAGCCTGAGGAGGAGGATCCGGCCCTGTCCCCACACCTCCTGCTCCCTGACAGCCTCAGTCAGCTGGAGGAGTTTGGGCGGCAGAAGAAATGGCACAAGAGACAGAACAAACAGCGACCCCGGCAGTTCAATGACCTCTGGGTTCGAATCGAGAACAGGTGAGCTGGGAGGGGCAGGTGTGCCCAGCTTCTGCCCAGAGAGCTGGGTCTCTGACTCTGCGTCAGCCTACCCTAGGCCCACCCATGCGGAGCATACTGCAGAAGTGCTCTAAGTTCCATTCGTATCTGAGCAGACGTTTCAGGTCTGGTTTTTCCTCATTCACAAAGGACTGCCAGATTTACCATCAAGGTTTATAGAGCATGACCTGGCTTTTCCATTTGTATTCTCAAATCAAGATCCAGTATCATTTTCTCCAGGTGAGGGTATAGAGACCTGATCAGGTGATGTGGGCAGATGTCTGCTTTGCAGTTAGCTTTCTAGGATGCACTGCATGTGCACACTGGAGGTCCATTTGTCCCATGAAACAAGTAGAAAATGGAGCCAGTGGCCAGATCAAAAAGAAATAAGCTCCTGGATCCTGGAAGGTCTGGGTGGCAGACATTCTGGCAGGGAGGCTGCAGAGGAGATGCCACTTTGGAGAGAAGCAGGACAGCTGATAGTTGATGTCTGCATTGGCAATATCTCTGGAGTACATGGGGTTATCTGGTAAACCTTGTTGGAAATGAGCAGACACAGAATATATCTCCATTCTCTTCACCCTGCGCCACCACCCCTCAGTCTGTCTTCACCAAAGCTTGGACTTTAACCACAAGCTCATCTTCCAACCTCAGCCTGTAGTCTCAGGTCCAGACAGTCTCCCTAAACTTCACTTTCCAGCAAGAATCTCTATGTATGGTATACAGTATTTCTTAAAAATCCAGGAGAGGACCATCAGCAAAGTGGCAGAGATTCCTCTCCCCTGCAATCTACTTAGCCTGGATATCTTGCTCCCAGAGGTGCCTTGGGAGTCCCAAAGTATTCCATCTGGACATTAAAAATTATCTCCCAGGCTTTCCTCATCATCCCTAAAAAGAATCATCTTGGATGCTTGTTAAATAAAATTCCCAGACCTCTTCTCAAACCTCAGGAATCTGAATCTACAGAGGAGGGGTCTGGGAAGTCCAATGTTGAATGGGCTCCTGGCCCAACTCTGTACTTAGAGATGGTGAGCCAAGGCTCAGAGAGGGTGAGGGGCTGGTCCACAGTCATGGAGGGAATCGAGCTGAATCCTGCTCTTACCACTTTATGATTCTCACTTAGCTAGGTCTCTGAGCCATCAACCAAAGAGTAAATTGAGTCCAGTCCACTATCTTAAAGTGGAGGAAGGTGGAAAACATCTGAAAGATTCTCAGCCCAATAAGAGCTAGGCCCATTTTTCCTTTGGGCATTTGTTTCAAAGCGCCTGGCTTGGGTTATCGGGAAACGTAGTTCAGCAGAGCAAGAGCTTGCTGACCCTGCGTGCTTAAGGCAGAGGCACTCCCGCAGTTAGATTCCCACACCCAGCATCGGCTGCCCCCTTCAAGCCCAGAGTGAGGGCATGCATAGCATTACAGTGGACTTGCAGGCTGCTAGGGAGGCTCAGGCAGATGAAGGCACTGGCAGCCCATAAAGAGTTCTAATTAGGCCATTCATTCCTGACCCTGATCAACCCTCTGAGGTGACCAGGAGACCCGGCAAGTGGTAGAGCCAGCCTATGGGGTGACAGGAATTTACGTTGTCAGTTCCAGCAACTGGCCCACAGTCCTAACTAACCATGTCTGAAAGGCAAATTCTCAGCAAATGGCTCCAAACAATTTCCTTTTCACAATGCACAGCTCTGAGGCACACAGTCTGGTTTTAGCAGAAGAAAATTGTTTTTCTTTGGCAAGTGGGAGCCCCTTCTCGGTCCCAACAGGTAAATTGTGGTTGGATCATTTTCTTCCATCTGGTTGGGATGGAGAAGAAACTTTCCACCAACAGGTAACCTATTTGTTTAAAGATTCTTGCTGTTTCTTGAGAAGCAAGCCCTGAGTCTGTCCCTCAGAGGCCCAGGTGCAGGGCACAGCTTATGTAGCTCCTAGGGGAGTCCCACCCCACTAAGACCCCTAAGCACCAAATCCATTGAGAGAGAGCATAGGAGAGTTCTCAGAAGGAGATGGAGGCCCTGTTGTGGCCCTTCTAACAAAATCATCTTCCTTAGATAATTTCCATTAGAGCTTTCATTCCACCTGGTGCATTCCATTTCCAACCCCTGGATCCCCCTGCCTAAGTCCCAGTGGATCATCCTCCCCTCTTAGCACCTCCGCCCCTCATCCATCTTCCACCTGTGATCCTAAAGGCCTCCACACTAGTCCTCTCACACTGCCCCTCCTCAGTGCTCCCCACACCACCAGTTGGAATTCAGAGCCATCCTGGCTACAGGCTGCTCCCTTGGCAGGCCATGCCCTCTGGCCCCCACACCTTTCACCATGCTACTCTTTCTTCCAGGGCCAGGGTGGGAATGAACATCGGTGTCAGGCCCTCCATTCATTGTTCCCTGTCTCATCGAGAATCCTGAGCAGTAGGCCTCTTTCACCAGTGATGAAAATAAGGCTCAGTGTGGTTAAGTAACTGGTCTAAGACCACAAAGAGAGTAAGGTGTGGAGGTAAAACCCAAATCCAGTTCTAATGCCAAGGGGCACACTCATGCATCACCACGTGAAAGTCCCTTCTGTCCTCACCTGGCCAGCATCTCCCCTGGAATATCTGTTGAGGTCTCCCTCCCTCTAACCAGAGTTGTCTGCTGTTGCCCTCCACCTTTCCTCTCTCCCAGGTTGTCAATGCCCCTTCTCACAATACCACAGCCCCTGAGGGTGCCCCCATCCTGATATGGTCACCGGGGTAGTAATTCCTCCTGGAGTTCCTAGGCTGGGAGCCCTGGGGACCCTAGGTGGGTGGAACTTCTCTGAGTCACCTGAGGCCTGGCTGAGGGGGTGTTGACTGCACATGTGACTACGTGAACAAGGGAGGGAACCCGAGGGTGGAGGCTGCAAGCTGCTTGGCCAGGACACCACCTGGAGCAGGTTGGCCTCCCCTCGCCCCTCATTACCCGAGATGTAAACACACCAGAGGAAGTTTGGAGAAGCAGCAGCCCATGGCAAGATGATTTATGGGGACCCAAGGAGAGGGCTGAGCAGTGTCCACAGATGGCCGAGCAGCAGTAGTGGCAGGGCACTCCTTGGGAGCCCCCACATCTGAGAGCCTGAGAGGGGCCATCCCCATATCTGCTGTGTGCTGGCATTGCCTGATATGGTTTGTGACCTGTGACAATCCAGCAGTCTCTCAGTGTGTGCAATTTAGGGGCTTGCGTGGCCCTGAAGGTCCCACCAGCTCTGTTCTCAGCATCCACAGTTGGTGGAGGGGATACCAGGACAAGCATGCAGCAGAGTAGCTGGGCCACCAGAACTGGAATGACAGGCATGATGGGATAGGTGTAGAGGAGAGAGTACTTTCAACTGTGGCATGGCCTGAAGCAAGATGCAGGCATCACTCAGCTGTGATCAACACAGAGCTTTGGTGGGGCTGCCACATAGGGACCAGGGAGGCAGGAGCCTTGTACCAGAGGGTGTGTTGCCCTTCTGAGCCTCAATGGGTGTCATGGAGGCTGCCAAGCCATGCTTTCCAGCTCTGGTCTGTTATGGAGCAACTGGAAAATATCTCGAGACCATCTGCTGTCTGCCTACGAAAGCATGCAGTCCGTGCAGACTGGAACCAACAAGGCCGATTGGAGAGGGAGTTTCCCCCCCAGAGAAGACTGTATGGGCCCTCAGAACTAGGAAGTTGAGCTACAGGCAAATCCATCACCTAGATCGCTGCCTAGATCGGATCCTGCTTGGTCCAGAGAGGCTGGGGCTCAGATTTCAATCACAGTCTGTTCACACTGAGAGTTCTACCCTGAGCAGAAGACTCATTCACCCAAGCCCCAAGCCCGCTCTCCTCTATGTCTCCTAGAACCCTCTGAGGAGGTTGCCCAGGGCAGAGCCCACCAACCCTTTGTACAAAAGAGCATCCAAAAGTTAGTGGAAAAATTGAATTGAAAAAATAACAGAATTTTTCCATGAACTTTTTGAAGTACCCTCATATCATCAAGAAAGCCAAGAGCCCCAGACTTGCCAAATCTAGTGCTGAGAACTGCCCCCGCGCCTGGGAGCCCTCCAGCGGGGGTCTCAGGGGACTGACTGATAGCTTGATAAGGTCTCAGGCTTCAGCTCTGCTTTGCTGTGCCTTCTGCCTTGGGCTCCTGCTGCGAGAAGACGTTTTCAAGTCCAGAGGTCTGTATCTGTTCTTCACTGTTCACGTGACGCCTTTGAGGTCTAAAGGACAGGACATGCCCATAGCCATCCAGCAAACCAGGAACACAGTGCAAGCCAGACCTGGGGTTTCTACCTTCCATCAGGCCCCTTCCCGACTCGAGGGTCCTGGTGACTCAGAGTAGACTCGGCTCCTTGGTGCCAGCCATCTGTGGAGCCTGGGAATGCGAAGTGTTTGGTTTGGCTTCGAGGCTACTTTGCCATGAGACAATTTTCCCCAGCGTGAGCCTGGGAGGAGGTGGGGGGATCTAGACTAGGGGGAGGAGGCTTGTGAGAAGAGTGGGCCAGGGAGGCAGTTGGGGGGCATTTGAGGGGCTTTTCTTTGCTCCCAGCTCTGCTCATTTCCCTGGGACTCCTTCCAAGCAATAAAAACCCTGCTTGGGCTCAAGCTCCAAGGGAGAGTTTTCATCTTTGGTTTTCAAAGTGTGAAAGAAAATGCCTTCGGGCGCCTTGCATAACATAGTTTTCATAATTCCTAGCCAGGTCTTTCCTTCAGAGGGTGAGCACTGGCGGAGCCGGTCTGGGGCCCAGTTCTGGGCACTTTGAGGGGTGTACAGACCTCCTGTCCCAGCTGGCTCTACAAGCCTCCAAGCCTCCAAGGCTGAAAGGATGAGGCAAGGGCTCTGGAGGAATCTTTATGGACTTTTTCTGTTGTGTGTGTGGGTTTCGTTTTAATTAGAAAAGAAAGGAAGGGAAGAGGTGAGGTAAAGGCTCCTGCTGGGCATAGGCATTGATTCCCTGCAGGGGATGAGGCCACAGGAGGCTCCTCCTCAGACCTTGGCAAGCGTCTGCCCACAGGTTTGCCATGTCTCAGCAAGAAGCACCCAGCTTCCCTGGTGAGTTCTTCATCGCTTAGTTAGGAAGAGCAACTCTGCCTGGGAGCCTATCCTGGTTCCCGCTGCAGTTCGGTGAAAAAGATTTTAATCTGCTTCAAACTCAGATTCCTCATCTTGGAGACAGGAATAGTAGTGGTTTCTACATTCCAGCACTGTTGGGAGGATGAATGAGATGCTATGGATATAGCCCTGGAGTTCAGTGTCTGCTGATCCCTCAGTGGCTGTTCCTAGTGTACAGGGGTCTGAGTATTCCCAGGCTCTCCAGATGATTGGCACCAAAGTGTCAAGTCTGCTCTGAGCCAACAGGACCCGTCAAGTGGGGGAGAGTTCTTGGTGGGAGGCATAAGGTCTAGGTGTCCTATGTTCCTGACCAATGCTCCGTTAATGGAGAACATTATTATATTAACAGCATTAGATTTTATTGGTTTTTATTAAAGACAAATATGGAATTATTGATCATGATGATGAAAAATAGCCAACGCCATAGTTTGGTGTTGTAGTACTTCCTGTGTGCCAAACACTGCTCTAAGCATGTTGCACATAGAAGCATGAAAACCTCAGCATCCCTAGCACATAGATAACTATGGCTCATTGTGGAGCCCTGATGGTTTAGTGGGCTAGGTGTTGGACTGTTAGCCATAAGGTCAGAGGTTCAAACCTGACAGACACTCCATAGGAAAAGGATGAGACTATCTGCTTCCATAAAAATTTATATTCTTGGAAACACTAAGAAACAGTTCTTCTTTGCCCAACAGGATCGCCATGGGTTGGAATGGACTCGATGACAGTAGTTTATGACACAGTGTAATTGATGAGTATTGTACAGGGGTGTGTGGAGCCTTAACTCTCCCCAGTAGCACTGGAGGACAAATCATCAGGGCCTCCATGGACGGTCACATTGAGTCAGATCTTCAGAGGTGTCTGGGAAAATGGCAGCAAGATATCAGGTATGGCTGGAAAGGGTAGTGTGTGCTAGGGAGAGCCATGAAACCTGAGGTCAGTCAGTGCCAGAGCATGGCAAGTCTCTGGTGGTTTGCAGGACCGAGGATCACAGTACCTCACAACTGTGGTCTCCAAGTTGGAAAGGACCTTCACGTAGGAATGTAGCATGATCTTGTGGTCAGTGTATCTCCAGGAATGCAGGGTAGAGTGGGGCCTCTTCCTTTTCTGAGGTGCATCAGTCCAGCACAGGGCAGGCAAAGGACATTTGGAGTGCCCGTTCCCAGAACACAGGTCCCAGCTGAGCCCACATGGCAGCAGGGGTGGGATTGGTGACCCTGGACTTCCCTCCCACCCAGGCTGTAGCTGAGCCAGGCTGTGGGAGAGGTACCAGATGGAACTGGGCTGTAGGAGAGGCCAGCATGTGGCCACGTGGGCTGGGCTGTGGTGGTGATAAATACAGGAACTCACCATGGACAATCTCTTTGATACCCCATGTGAGTAAAGTTTTAATAAAGGTAATAGAGAAACAGCTGCAAGCATACATTGACAGAGAACTTCCAGAGGTTCAAGCCAGATTCAGAAAAGGCCATGGAATGAGGGATATCATTGCTGACGTCTGACGGATCTTAGCTAAAAGCAGAGAATACCAGAAAGATGTTTACCTGTGCTTTATTGACTGTGCAAAGGCTTTTGATTGTGTGGATCATGACAAGCTATGGACAACATTGTGAAGTATGAGTACTCCTGAACACTTAATGTGCTCATGAGGAATCTGTACATGGACCAAGAGGCAGTTGTTCGAACAGAACATAGGAACACTGAATGATTTAAAATTAAGAAAGGTGTGCAACAGAGTTGTATTCTTTTACCATACTTATTCAACCTGTATACTGAGCAAATAACCTGAGAATCTGGGTTAGATGAAGAAAAATGTGGCATCAGAATTGAAGGAAGACTCATTAACAACCTGCGATATGCAAATGATACAACCTTGCTTGCTGAAAGTGAAGAGAACTTGAAGTATTTACTGATGAAGATCAAAGAGCACAGCCTTCAGTATGGATTGCATCTCAGTGTCAAGAAAACAAAAATCCTCACCACTGGACGAATAAACAACATTCTTATCAACAGAGAAAAGATTGAAGTTGTTAAGGACTTCATTCTTTTTGGCTCAACTATCAACACTCATGGAAGCAGCAATCAAGAAATCAAACAACGTATTAAGGCAAATCTGCTGCACCAAACCTTTTTAAAATGTCAAAGAGCAAAGATGTGTCAACTTGAGGACTAAGGTGCGCCTGACCCAAGCCATGGTATTTTCAATAACCTCATATGCATGTGAAAGCTGGACAGTGAATAAGGAAGGCTGTAGAAGAATTAATTATTTTGAGTTATGGTGTTGGAGGAGAATATTGAAAGTGCCATGGGCTGCCAAAAGAACGAATAGATCCATTTTGGAAGAAGTGAAGCCAGAGTGCTCCTTGGAGGCCAGGACGGCCAACCTTCGTCTCTCATGCTTTGGACATATTGTCAGGAAGGACCATTCGCTTGAGAAAGATATCATGTTTGGTAAGGTGGTGGGTCAGAGAGAAAGAGGAAGACCCCAATGGGATGGATTGGCAAATTGGCAGCATCAATGGGCTCAAACGTAGCAATAATTGTGAGGTTGGCCCAGGACCAGACAGTGTTTCTTTCTGTTGTGCATAGGGTCGATATGAGTTGGTACCAACTCAATGGTACCTATTAACAACAACAACCACCATGGTGATTGTGGCCAGTCATTAGGCCCTTGTGGTCCAACATAAGGAAACATGGGTCCCTAGATGGAGTGGGAGAGGGACTCCCAGGTGAACCCAGAGGTTAGACAGTTTGTGCTGGGAGACACTGCCACTGCAAACACCCATGAAGACAACCCTACCCAATTTCTCCCAGCATATTCCTTAGGCTGATTAGGGAAGGACCAGTTGCTGAGCATGAGAGGGTCTTACCAACTCAGCTGTCAGAGCTTAAATCATCCCCAACCCAGTCATAAACTGCTAGGAACCCCTTCTGTGTCTTGGACTCAGACCCTTCCCCTTGACACAGGCTCAGTTTCTGGCCCTGCTCTGGATACTGGATGGGGGTCCCTCTGAGGGCCCCTGGCCCAGTGTGTCCCTCGGCATACTACCCCTTTGTATATGCTGGGACTGGTGGGTTCTGTGTCTCCATGTCCACCTGTCTGTCACCTGGCCACTCTACTCTTTATGGGGTCCTCACAGCCCAAGCCTTTTCCTCTTGCCACAGGTCTCCTGTCCAACTTCTCCCCAGGTGGCCTGTCTTTGTTATGTCTCTGCCATGGTCTCTGCCACCATCCCTGTGTTGCTCTTGGGCCCTCTCTTTTCATCCATTTCCTATCTGTCTCTTTCCTGGATCCAAGCAAGTAGCTTGCTCCTGAGCTCTGCCTAGTCCCCACTCTCTGCCTCCAACTTTCCAACCCCATCAAGTGCAGGCTCCGTCTGCCAATTCCTTCCTGCTGTTAATCTCTTTTGATTTCTCTGTCTCGTTCTCTGTCTTCCTCTTTCACCCTCCCTCAGTCTTTTTCACATAGGATTTCTAGAGCCAAGAATCTCACCTGTTACCTCTAAAGCTGAATTCCTTTTTTTATAAGTTCATGAGAACTGCACCTTTCACTAAACACCCACTACAGTTATGCAAGTGAGACCAACCTCAGTGTACCTGACCCCTGGAGATGCCACTCCCACCTTCCTGTGACCTAGCCACCAGGTAGCCTCTCTGAATTTCACTTTTCTCATATGTCAAAGGGGAATGAGACCCACTCTGAAGGCTTGAAGTGAGGACCATAGACTCTGTTTGCAAAGTTCTGGACTCATAGTGGACATTCAGAAAACACTAGTCATAATAGTGGTTACGAATCGGGCTGCGAACCTTAAGGTCAGCGGTTCGAAACTACCAGCCGCTCCGCGGGAGAAAGATGAGG